AATCTAACACAATAAAGCATTTATATGAATTTTCGCAGAGGATCAAAAATATAACCTCGGAAAAAACAGAATTACTGGTTCGTTTTGATGCACAATCTATGTACGCAAACATTTCTGGAGAAAACGCGCTGACGGCCCAGTTTAAAATTTTAGATCGAGAAAAGGATATTCTAGAAGCAGAGAGTATCAAACGGGAGTTGTTAACATGATTAATCAACTTGACACTGAGTACTACCTACTTCGCATTCAATAGCAACATCTATGAAGAGACATTTAGACTTCTTATGGGATCATCTCTCTCACCGCTATTGGAAAATGTATACATGAACAAATTAGAAGAGAATTTCGAGACGTTACAGCTGCAACCAAGAGTTCTTATGCGGTACTTGGATGACTACTATGCAATATGGTCGCATGAAAGAGAAAAATTGGAAGATTTACTGAAGTTTATGAACCGGATTAATAAAATAATCAAGTTTACAATAGATGTAGAGGAAAAGTGTCGTTTAGCCTTCCTAGATCTGGAGGTCATTCGTTCTACTGAGGCACTCAAGAGGAAATTATTCCGAAAAAAGCCAAATGTAGGAATAATACTCAATTTCGAATCTCATCACTACTACAGAATGAAGATAGGCTTACTGAGGAGCACGATCATCAGAAGCCTATTATTAACGGACGTGGAATTCTGGAATGAAGAATGTGAAACATTGACTCGGATATTCCTTGGTAATGGATATCCGAGAGAAGTAATTCAAAGAAACATGCTGGCCAGGAAGAGCCGATAGAAGGACGAAGATCATGAAGTAAAGAAACGGATGAGGAAAGACTAAAAAATTTGGATGTTTATTCCTTCCGGTGAACTAGCTTAAATATTAAGACAATAGAATATTCAGGTGACGTTGGAGGAAAAAACAACACTCTTCCCAATCTACCCAGGCAACATGAGAAGGTATATATATTGGATTGCTCAGGAGTTTAGTGAATAGCATGCGGCGTCTGCGTAAAGAAATACACTGGCGAAACTGGGAGAAAATTGGTATACGAATCAAAGAACATTAAAGGGACATATCTTGTTGAATGTAAACGTATCAAAAGTTGTGATAGGATGAGGTCGAGAATGGAGAGTAGGAAATGGAAAGAGTGATCAGGACAGAATATGGAGTGATAGCACAACGGTCTCGACAGAATGTTTCTCAAGAAATTGGCTTGAGTTGTCACTTTGACGAGTTGTAGCTTGGTTGCTAAGAATGGCAAGACTCAATCATGATGCTGATGAAACGTCTGGGAATGTGCTAAGTCCACGATCCGACTCTGAAACTGATCATGCATAATATGGACTCCAAACAGGGTGTGATGATCTAGGACTTCCTTTTATTATAAACAAGTTGCGAAACCAAGTTTAAACAACTTTTAATATGATTTACTTTCCTTACCATAGTTCCTTATTTTGAATATATGGTGACGAATTTTGAAGAAGTGGATTACAATTTTCTTCTTTGGATGTGTTTGTGATCGGAGCAAGTGAGAAGTGAGCATTATCGTATATAGAAAAACAATAAACTATTTTTTTCTAAACCATAGTTACATAACACGATTTTAAAAGTATGCTTATACGAAGCATAAGCTTTTCCGCTAGGGACCATTTTAATGATTAACAGAATAGATTAAAAATTAATATTACTTGAGAATAATTAACCCCTGTTGCACCTCAAATACAGCAATTGATTAATGAATAGTAGAACTTTGAGGAGGGATAAAAGGCCAGATGCTTTTAGACTTAAAAAGTCGTCTCATATCCCATACATTTCGTAATTTCAGATAAATCATACTAATAAGTGCCAACTAATGCACATATTTTTTAATTTAAAAATATTTTTATTCAGTATTACATAAAAGGAGCTTAAAATACTACAAATCAAATCATTCGTTTGTTTGTTTTAGCCATCGTAGCTTTGCAGCTTTACACCCCCAAAGTGCACGCCGTTTTTCCCTTAATTCGTTCCATATGTTATCATCTATATCTCTTCCATATCTGCTAACGTTTCTTCATTTACTTATTTAGATTACAAGATGACTCTCTCCAAAATTATTAAGCCCGATAAAAAAACTGTAACTCCGTTGGAAGAGGAGATTGCTCAGGTTAGCATTAAATTATCTCCTATGTTTAGGCCTTGAGTGACCTTCAGTCTCATGAAAATCTAGGCGAAGCTATAAAAGCTTTATATTTTTGCGAGGCAAAAGAGTTTTCAGTCGGCAATGAAAAGGTTGTCGTTATTTACGTCCCAGTCCCTCAACTTCGTGCTTATCAACAAATACACAACCGCTTGGTTGGAGAATTAGAAAAGAAACTGCGTGGGCCTCACGTTGTTATTGTTGCTTTCCGTCGTATTCTTCCTAAGCCAAAGCGAAAGTGCAAGGCTAATCCCAAACAAAAGAGGCCCCGGAGCCGTACCTTGACGTCTGTGCACGATAATATTCTAAAGGATCTTGTCTATCCAGCGGAGATTGTTGGTAAACGCACCCATGTCAGAGTAGACGGAAGCAAACTTATAAAGTGCCATTTAGATGTCACTCAACGAAATTATGTGGAGCATAAGGTAATTTATAATATTTAACTACTCTAGATAAATACAATAACATCACTGTACAAACAACTGACTGGCCGTGATATCGACATCGTTTTTCCCGACTGGGTATTGTAGTTTATCTAAAATAAATTAATATG